ACACACACACACCTACAGTACCTACAATTACTGGTTCCAGCACACACACACAGTCGAAGTAAACGGCAATTCAGCTCTCGTTATCTGCAATTCGGTAACATTATGGAAACTTCGAAACTTGAACTATTGAGCGATCGCACGACAAATAGAAGCTTCAATCAATCTGCAAGTCCAGATGTGAGAGCAGACAGGGTTCGATGTTTAAAGCGTAAAACCATGTTTGGAGCACAAACATTATTTTGTGTATAATCACATCTCTAACCAACCATTTCTGCCTGTCATACCTTTCTGGTGTTAAAGGTACACCAGAAATCACCAGCATGGTGTTTGTATTTATTAGATGTGAATAAAATCAAGGAAACCTCGGGGACCAACACAACAACAAATCCATGTCTTACTGCAAGGTTCTCATGGCAATACATGAACCAATGTGACAAAGTCTGACAAAATAATCCCACTGTAGTTGGAGCTAGATGACTTTAACAACTACAGACCCAACCAACCTGCACCCTGATGGTGACCAACCTCATGAAAAAGGTCTGAGAAATGCCCTGACCTAAAAATATTGTCATTGGGATGTAAAATATGATCACTCCCACTAATAGTGAGTGATATTGTGATCATAAAATCTGTCAAAACAATGACAGCATGAAGGTTTTCCGTATCGTGCAGGCCCATTACCGACCCAGTTTGTTGTGTTTACAGTTGAAATTCACACTGCACACCAACATTTTTCCTTTTTCCTCACTTTTAATAACTTGCTTGGACATTTGTGGTGAAAAATCAGCCAAATATGCCTGTAATAGTAATTTTCTCTGAACTGTAACTTACCAATTAAACTAATGACCTGTCAATAATGCATCAAAGGTAGAGGAGCAATTAATGGTGGCATTTGTAAGACCTGCTGGCAACATAATTAACACCTATTGAGTTACAGGTTTTGAGTTTCCTGTACCATAAAATAATGTTTATGTCCCTCTGGGACATATTATCCATAGATATCTATAGATGTTATGTATTTCCCGTTAGAGCCACTGATCCTGTGCGTAGTCTGAGCTCCTCCAGCAGAGGTCTTCGTTATCAGAGACTTGAAGCTATGGAAGGAGCTGCCTGAGGAAATCAGGTCAGCACAATCAGAGCCCGCCTTTAAATATCTTATTTAAACATACATTTATCAGAGAGTTTTTCCTGATGTACCTGGATTTTTATTGATTGGCCTTTAGCTGGTTTTATTTTTTTTATTGGTTTTGTTTATTTGCCTACAACTCAGAAATAGTTTTTATGATCAGCTTGTTATGAAGTTGTTGCCTCGTGTGAAGCACTTTGTAACTTGAGAAGTTCTCTAGAAGTAATCATTGTTTTGAGCAATGTAAAAGCAGATGGACGACACTGGAAAGAGGAAGACAGGCTCTAACAGAGTGATACGAAGATAGTTCTGTGTGTAAAACCTTAAAAAATGGCATTCAAAGGAAACCCTACAGCTTAGTCAAGTCCTCTAACAAAGCATCAGTTACAATCCCAATTCTGTCCTCTCAGACTCTGTTCTATGTTTAGGAATTTGTTCCTTTGTGCTCTCAAATCTGGATTTGAAGATTAGTACTCAAATTTGTTTTGTCCTCAGTAACACACACACAGACACACACACACACACACACACAGTCATGGCTTTAGAGCCAGTGAGACATAATGCAGAGAAAAAGCTGACACGACTGTTGGAATACCACCACTGACTGACTTTAGTACCTGAATACATTGTGGCAGACAGTCGGGCTGGAAAACAGACAGTCAGGAAGACAGACAGACAGACAGACAGGAAAACAGACAGACAGGCAGGCAGGCAGGCAGAAGGGAAAACAGACAAGCAGACAGTGCTGTCTAAAATCTGCTGCCTCAGCTGTTCACATCCACAAACACAGAGGCCCCGTCTGTGGTCTGAACACACACTCGCACAGACATTTCTATCTTGCCTTTTAGAGCGGCGGAGGTGAGAGCAATCACCTGGCAGAAAGAGGGCACAGGAATCCAGCTGGCTACTTTTCATCCACTCACACCAGGAAGCAAATCCAACTGTGGCTCCGAGCCAGACCAGACAGCCAAGTGGTCCAGAGGAGCACGTCGCCATAAAATGTGTTTAAGTGGCTCGAGTTGATTCAGGGTGGATCAGATTGATGAAAGAGTGGTACAGTATGGGGGGGATCAATTAAATAAGTGCTTAAGAGGGGGGGTGCAAAACAGCATCTACAAACAGCCACAGATGGAGGGAGAGAGACGTCATGTGAGAGCAGATTTGGCTGCAGACACAGAAGTGGGGCCCCCTAGCGTTAATTTTTAACTTCCTGTGTTAGCAGGCTGGTTTCATTTGCTATTCAAGGCATAAAAATCAACACACCAGACTGAGCAAACAGACAGTTCAGGCATTGGAGCAGCACGGGGAAAGGGCTTTAAAGATGTTTAAATTAGAGACCTACACAACAACTACTAGATACTGTATTTATATTGGGTTTTAATTAAAAAGGTCCAATGTGTAACATTTAGGAGGATCTATTGGCAGAAATGGAATACAATATGCATAGGTATGTTTTCATTAGTGTACAATCACCTGAAAATAAGAAGTTACCACAGAATGTTTTCATCTACAGAGTTTCTGGGCCACCGTAGGTCCTCCTATACGCTTGAAAGGTTGAGCTGTATTCAAATGATTGCAATCTGTAACTCCCCCACTAGATGCCAATGAATCCTACACACTGGTCCTTTAAAGAATGAGGTCCCAGCTGTATTTCAAACTACAAATGTTTGTGTCATGCTCTTTCTACAATGTTACGGTTACAGTATTCACTGAAAAATCTTCTACAGTTTTACTTTAGAGTCAAATTTAGAAATATTTTATAACTCTGCTGTAATTTCCGTGAAGCAAAATTGTTAAATAAATGTTTATCGGACTTTAATAGTACCATGCAGGCCTGCAACCAAAGCAAATGCGTTTTAAACAAAGTACAGTCACCAGGAGCCACAGTCAAAATTATATAAAAAGCAGACAGATATAGACACATATAAGCCACAGTAGTGCAAAGACAAGTTAGTAAAATTTGAATAAATGGACATTTAAAAATGCGTGCTAAATGGAACGTTTATATTTTTAGGTTTTAGGATCGGGGGGAAAGATTCTGCCCTCACCATTTAGGCAAATGTCAGGCGCTGGTGATTGAAAATGACTGTGAATATAAAAACAGTTGTGTCTAGATAGGTAATTTATCCAGATCCTCCATTAATCCAAGAGAATCCTAGAGAAATGCTTCCCAAACAGATTAGTGAGAACACAAAAGACAAAAGGAAAGAAACTGTTGAATGCAAAAAATAGTGATAAATGTGCACACATACAGACATTCAATACTCCTCCTGTGTTTGTGCAAATATGTAGCTGAATAAGTCCTCGCCCCTCCTTTATTATTCGTATTGTTCATATCCTCCATGATGTATTTCATAGATGCACCCTTCAAACTGTGTTGCAGTTAAATGTTAAATACGATTCACTATGAACTCGAAGTGAGACATGTGACACCATAGAGCACATCACGGTAAAATCGAGTTAGGAAACGTATAATTAGATGAAGAGCAGACAGCAAGAGAGTCGACAAAGAGGCGATGGAAAGATAGAAGACTAGAGGGATATGCATTGCCCTTTTTGTTTAATGTTAAGCCATTTTATTAGTACTTAATAAGCGTACCTGCACACCACCACTCGTACATTACCACAGACACTCGGCTCTCCTGTTATTGTGTCTGCACATGTAAACAGCATGTGAACCCATTACAACAAAACTCACACACCACACATCGGGACTAAACTGATCCGTATTATCTGATGTCACCTGCTATTGGGCTTCACAGTGTGTGAGCGTGGTTGCCATGGCGACGCTAGTAATATTCTGCCCCGTGATATATAGTAAGATAGTTATGAGCAGAATACAAAGACACATAGAAAAAAAGTGTTTAGCAGGAGTATGAGCCATTACGTAGGAGTATATAATGCTGTGTCAAACAAAACATTTACACTAGAAAATAAACTTTTTACATTCATCTTTCTACAGAAGTAGGAGCCATAGTTATTGCCGGTTTGTTAGACAAGAGGCGTGTGCACATAATAAACCTAATGTCTAAGCTGTAATATTAAAATACCAAGCCCTCTCCTTTGTGATAAACATCAAACAAACCTTCTGCACATGAAGTATAATTCAGTTCACAGCCTTCGCTCTAATATTAGTAATGGCAGTGGTAAAAATGTATATTGAAATATTGATATTAATTGAAATAACAACAAAAATACTTTTTGAAAAACAAACAAAACATCCTAAATAAGTATTTTTTCACGCAGAATGAAGAAATAATTCTCCGTTTCTTTTGTTAAAGCAGTTGTGAAGAAATCCGCTCTGCAACGATTAATATAAAGAATTAGCTTTTTATCCTGTTTCCCCTAATAATGCAAAATTAAGGTGTATAAATTCTAAAGAAACACATGCACAGTGGCATGTTATAGTAGTATTTGATGAGCAGAAAATAACAAAAATACTAGTTTTTGAAAATCGTACAGTCCCTCAAATGATAAAGACTGAGTCCCAATCTCATACTACATACCACTTGTATACAGTATATACTAATGTTTATAGTATAGTCAGAATCTCCATACTTTGCCGTTTTATAGGAAATGATGCAATATGTGCACCATGCAAATGCAATCAAATTGCAACTTGAAATATCAGAACCAATTCAACTTCAGAGATAGCGAAACAGGTTTTCCTGGAGACGATTCACCACCAAGAACCATTCATTTGAATTTTTTTCCATCTATGAGCAGTTCCTCTATTTCCATCAACAGAGCACAAAAAACAGGCTTCAAATGCATACTAAACGATTTGACTATGCAAACACTTATACATACTTGAAACCTGCAATAAGTTAATATGTAGTATGGATTCAGGACGTGCAGTCTGAAACCTTTACCTTCTAATGGCAGCTGGAAATGGAAGAAAAGCTCCTGTTACAGTCCCTACAGATCTTCCCCAAAACGCCCTAATGTGTTACAGTAGATAGAAGAGAAGAGAAAGGACTGTGCCCGAATATTTGGCTTAAATGTTAAAAACCAAAGCAGATAACTACATTTAAGTCAACACAATTTGATTCAATATTAATAAATGACTTGAATTGCCTCGGAATATTATATTATATTACAAATAGATAACAGTATATATTGAAAAAAATTAGACATGTAGTAAATGATTTCCTTTCGATCATATAGTACAATTTGCTCACAAAAGAGCTGGGAAATGTCCATTATATATGATATTGTCTGTTACGCATGGCTTTATATATTCTGTATTACACACTGTATTTACACCAGCCTTTTATTTTCTGTCCAGTCTTTATAAGAAAGGTCCATTCATCGAGGGGAAGCTATTGTAAGTCACCACAATTAAGGGCTTTGATTGGTTCAGGCCCTTTTTTTTCCTGATGTGCTCCCAAACCTTGGGATTGAAATGGCTGACACTTCCTACAGAAACAGCATATCAACACGAATAAAACACACGCACACTCTGATTCTCCGCAGGGAGATATAAAAGAAGGACCTGGGCCATAAAAGGAAAAGAGAAAAGACACTGAAGCGGGAACAAACACATGTCAGTTTGACTGACTAATCAAAGAGTGAGTGTGCAACAACAGACAGAGTTTGTCTTTTGAAAGGAGACAGAGAGGGAGACAACTGACTGTAAGACCAGTCCTAAGACAGTTTCAGCAGGCAGACAGGTCGCCTGGCTGCAAATACAAAAGCAGCTTATACGTACAGATACAGTATACTTAAGTTTACATTATATTAGAAAAA